TATATTTGTAATGGTTCATTTTGATTTAATAAATAAACAACATCAACCTGATTGAGGGAAAAAAAAAAAAAAAAAAACTAATTATGGTTTTTAAATAAATTTGAAAAAAATATAGAAAAGTAAAAAATAATATATAATATTAATTTTTAGATAGAAAAGAAAAATAATAAATTTGCAGATCTACTCGGTCATAGTCCAGTGGGCTAAGGCAAGATAGGGCTAACCTATGAATCACGGTTCAACCCCAGCTGAGGGCAATTCACATATCCCAAATTGGGACTTTGTGTTACTGTTTCTGTAACTCGTGATAGAGAGCTATTTGGATTGCTCTGGCGATTAAGAAGCCATATGGATAGACTACACTCAATAGATCAAAAAGATAGATGATTTGATTGGTAAACTTTCTTATCAAGTATTTCTCGGGAAATACCTTCAAAAGGAGGAAGAAGTTTCATGGGATCTTTCCGATAATAGAAAGAAAGGTACAAATGGCTAAAATCATTAGTCGCATAACTATTAGTAAGAGTTTCACATGTCCGTTGGTAGTGAGGATCCAGTCGGGATTGCAGGAGGTCGCTTGTATCATGGGATGTTCTATCCTAAGGGGTACACTTGTGACGGTTGACTGTATGCCCTCATAAATTGTAACCCCCGCATATGTTGCTAGGTTAGATTAGACAGGGTGAGGCTGGATCCGATTTCCAGGCGTATTTGGTGTACTGGTGTACCCTTATCCTTCAATGATATCTTATTGACTAAATCCTAGTAAGTCTTGACTAAACTGAATGGTTGAAAAACTGTAGTGGTGACTGTAGGCAATGATTATTCTGGCAGATAGCAAAGATCTGCTTGCCTTGAATATAGCAACTCTCCATCCCCACCATCTATACTTAGAGGCTTAGGCCTAAGATGAGTATTTAGGATCATCATAATTACCTCCTGTACCCCAGAGAAACACCAGGAGACTAGAAAGGTAATATAAAGATACCTGAGTTGACAGCAAGGATTAAAAAAAAAAAAAATAAAAACAATAAATTTGCAAAGATTGTATTAAGACAAACATTAGATCTAATAACTTTGTTTATATATATTGTTAAAATTAAATTTGTATTATAGAGAGAAAAAGTTAAAAAAAAAAGTAATTATTATAATTATATAAGAGAAAAAGACTTAAAGACAAAAAATTATAATGGAAGGTTACTACAAATCTTTTTTCATGCAATTAAGAGCTAAGAAAGACTTCCAACTTGTTTAAATCTTGACCAGAGATCCTATCCCAATACAATAGTATTCCTTAAAGTCTTTATGTTTTTGGGTTTAAAGTTTATTTGCTTTAAAAAATAAAGAAAAGAAGATATTTCTTGAAAAAAGATTTTCTAAAAAGAAAATTTTAAAAAAATCAGCAATGAATGGATAAGAGTTTTTTTTAATATTATAAATTGTTTTTATATTTGCTATATTATATATTTTGATTAATTAAATATATTATATCCATATTTATATGATATTTTTTCAAATATAATATCATATTATTATATTAATTCTAATTTTAATAAATCTTTTTGAAGTACTTTACTAATTTATAAAATTATTAAAATCTAATAAATATATTTATTTGTGAAAAAATTTAATATATTTTTATTTTTTGTTTGATATCTAAATTGCTTAATTATCAAATAAAATACAATTAATAAAAATCTTTTAATATTTAAATAATATAAAATTTTGTATATAACTAGTTAAAAATTAAAAAGGGTAATATTGATTTTTTTTTTAAAGTTTATTATAATTGTTTTTTTTCCTATAAAAATTTTTAATTATTTATTGTTTTTTTTAAAAAAAGTAAATAAAAAGTTATTAATAACAAATATACTTAAAAAATATATTATTTTTGTATTTAATTTTTATATATTATTTCTAAAGTTTTTTTATTATTTTTTTTAAATTGCAATCTTTCATTAATTTTAATTTTAATTTTAATTTTTAATTCAATTTAAATTCTATATATATTTTTACACCTTTTATGATGTTTAGTGGTTTTAATATTTATTTTCCTTTATTACATAATAAGTTAACATAGGCAAGCTAACATTAAACTTATTAACTTATGTTATATAAGAGATGTTATTACTTTTATCATGTAGAAAATCTGAATTTTTTACAATTAATAAAGCAACAATGTTTATTTACATATATATATATATATATATATTTGTTTTTTTTAATAATGTTTTTTTAATTTTTAATTTGTTTTTTCTATTGATTTAAATTTATTTTTTTAAAAAAAATTTTTTTTAACAAATTTTCAAAAATAGAATATTATCTATTACAACAAAATTATCTTGTTTTTTAAATCTATTAAAACAAAGATTGATGATAATAATTTGTTTTTCAATTAAAATAATTTATATATGGATTACTTTTGATTTTCTTCAATTATTTGTTTGTTATATAACTTTAGAGTTTTAAATATACACGTACACATAAACAGTAAACTAATTAAATAATAAATATTTGCTTTGAATTAAAACAAATTTCAAGATCTTTATTTGTCACACTAAACATGATTGCAACATCTTGAACTGTCATAATTAAACTGTACTCAAATGAATTAGTGCTGACTTTCTTTCCAAAAGCATTACCTACTTACCTTCATTTTTCATGTCTGAAAAAATTTTTTTAGTAAGTTTTGACTTTACAACATTAATGCATACTAAATTAGGAAATCATCTTGCTCCACGCCCGTGCCTGCAATCATTTTTTCGAGGTAGATAAATAAATTGTATTGCATACTTTTTTTTTCTTTTTTAACAAGATTTTCCTGTTTTTTTATGAATACTACGATTCGTTCCCTATGATACAAGATTAAAGAAAATTCAAACCAAGGGTTTGCATATATATATATAAATGGGTGTTTTTTTTTTTTCTTTTCTTTTTTTTTTTGCTCAAATTTTTTTTTTCTTTTTTTCTTTTCTTTTGCTCTTTCCGTGGAAGAAACTATGATATTTTTCGTGCAATGTCCAAAAAAATTTTTTAAACGAAGAATAAATAAATATGACTCCACCCTACCAAATGTTCGAGATTTATGTAAGAAATGAGTCTGGTGGTTATCGAAAAAATCTCGATTGAAAAATTTTTTTTAAAAAAAAAAGTCAAGAAGAGGATAAACTGAATAAAGAGACCAAGATAAGTTTATGTAAGGTACCCTCCGTTCCAACTTCTTACGCTATCTTGAGCAAATGTTGGTGGAGCTAAAATGTTATTGTTTAGCACTGGTCGTTCGGTGAAATGACTGTAATTTTGCACGTGATCTTGTATCATAGAACTACTAGCATTCGTGTTGTGGTAATGCTGGTAATGTTGTCGTGGCAGTAGCCGATCCGATTGGAAATGATTGGTGTCACCGCCGCTGTTATCATTGATCACCAATGTCGGCGGCGACGAAAAGGGCATCGGCAATTCTTTTCTCCTCGAAAAACCATCCATCCCTAGGTTGTCGGTCAATGCAGTGATAGGCGGTAATCTTGTGGTGGTGGTAGTCGGATGCAAAGGAGTCGTCAATAATCGAGCAGGAGTGGGTGGGTGTCCGGAAACTATTGACATCGAGGTGGATCCGGAAGTCGCTCGAGTATTGTCAGTAGGCAAGGGTGGAGAGCTTGATAATTGACTGTGAGAAGGACGCGGACTGGAAGTGAACTGTTTGGTAAAACGTGGTGTCGTGATATTTACATTGCTCGCACTGTCATTGTTACTGTAGCTATCCTTATAGCCGTCTGGAGATGTTGATATGTTTGGCGATGTTCTCGATAGGTGAGTCAGATGAGCATCAAATGAAGTACGCGGAGTTGGCAACTGGTTCACGGAGGACAATGGCTGTTCAGAGTTCATCGTACGATAATGATGGGGTTGACTTCGCGAATCAATATAAGAAGGCAAAGTGTTCGATCTCGTAGGAGTTTTAACTTGATATAGCCGAGGACCGCTAGAATAATGGGATGAAGAGTTAGAGGGAGGTTGTAAAGGCGAACGGTTTGTCGCCTGGTAATTAGCATTAGAATCCAAGGAATCATAAATTTGGTGACGTGAGGAAGAATCGGGATATTCCAACAAAGGTGGTAAGGTTGTCCCACGTTGTGGTTTATGGTGAAGAGGACGTAATGGTCGAGAGTAATTATTTGATTGATTTGTAGACCGAGGGTCATCAGATGAAAACAAAAATTCGGGCTTCGATGATCTCCGGCATTCCGGATCCCCATACGGAGACGATGTGACGTCATAAGAATCCGAGCGAACTGACGTGCGATCATCGTGAAGGGATTCACGTTCGGAATCGTAGTGCTGGTAAGTGCTCTCGCGGTCCAGTGATCTTTGACGCAGGACTGGTTCACAATGACTCGGACTGAATGAAGATGAGGATTCGTATTGATGGTTCACATTAGGTGATGAGTAACTATATGAGCTCGTATTACTATTTCGATCATTATTTGGAAGCGGTGGGGATTGTTGATGGTAAGGAGATCCCGTGGATTGTAATTCCATTGGGGGAGACGAAGAACACCTACTCCTCTTTCTCCTTAGGGTATCACCTAGATCGAGACCATCATCATGGATATTATCTTCACCATCTGCAATGTCCGAATGCCTACTAGACGGTGGTCGTTTCCTGTATTATGGACGTGTGATTAGCATTTATGCAATCACCAAATGGGTATTGTTATCATTGAAGACGAATTACATCTGAATCCGGTGTTCTTTACGTATTCTTATGCGAACACCTTGATCCGAGAAAGACCTCGACAAGAATGTTGACTCGGACATTCCCGGGAATGTTTTTGGAGGGTAGACAGTGAATACGTCGGACATCAAGGATTGTATGTGAACAACCTCATCCCTAACAAAAAAAAACCCTTGCGGATCAATACTCACAAAGATCACAGATCGCGTGAAAATCGAATCAAACCTTTACATCTCTTACCGTATGATCTCAAATAAGCTGAAACGCAGGCGATAACGACCCTCAACACGGACCGATATGTCACCAAACACAAAGAACCCACCATCTGGATTATGTGAAAGATATTCAGGAAAAAAAAGTAGAATTCACGAGATTCAAAGACGGATCGATAAATACCGGTATTGTCAATGTCTTTTAACTTATGAAGAGAAGATACGACGGTGCCGGCAAGGCACTGCGAGGAAATAGCAAGATCACTATTGCCGCTGTGATGCATGAGATTGGCACACATAAAGTAATACGGACTCTGAAGGAAATTCCTGATTGGAAAAAGTCATCGTCATCAAAGAAGCAACTTGCATTCGACAGATCAACAAACCGTGTGAAGATGAAAAACATACTGTGCTTCCTCACTACTACCTTCGACCTTGAGTTGTATAATCGGTGGAGGGTCAACCGGCCTTCGATCTATTATTATTAATTATTCATGGACGGATTCGAAATCAGAAATATGATATGCAGACACCATTCACTGCGTAGAACAGGAAAATTTACGAACCTCGTTCTTTGGAACTACATAACCTGGCTATTTTTGGCTGTTGGCGTATGATGAGTCGATAGTGATCACTGAAGAAGACGATAAAAGAAAACGCGTTTCATCAAAGGTAAAAAGCAAGCGGTGTATGACAACGATCTAAATAAATGAATTACCTGCTAAGTGGTCTTTGACGGTTAGACGTACTCACGAAATTGTACGTGTTTAATACATTCTTTGACATCGTTAATTAAATGTGAGCAGCGTAAACGTGAGTGGGTCGCGCGGTGAGTCTTTTTGAGAAAGCGAAATTGGCTCAGGTAAAGTTTGATTTTCGTGTAAATCGTCTTAAATTTTTGGTCTCCAATAGAAGAGGTGAGGTTGGCAGAGCTGTACAAGCGACAGTGCGTGTATGGTGGGAAAGGGGAAGTTGGAAAAAACAAGAAAGAAAAAGAGGAAAGGATAGTCTGTGCGCTTATAAAAATTCGATTATGAACAGTACTGAGTGCAAAAAAAAAAAAAATTAAGGCTGCACGTCACAAAAAAAAAAAAAAGAGGAAAAACTTCTTTTTCTCAACGGATAGAAAGTAAAAAAACTAGCAGTTTTGTGGTCATGTATTAGTTAAGGTTTATGATACGTCTATATCACCATGTCACAAATGGATGATGATAAAATAGAGAAGAATAATAATCTACAGAGTCGGGTTCTTTTTTTCCTCTTTAAAAAAAAAAAAAAAAACGGTCGAAAACCAAATTGTCGGAAGATAAGAAAAAAACGAGACAAAACGGAGAAGAGAAATTTTTTTTTTATTTTTTTTATTTTTGGATGTCGTTTTTCTGTAACGGCTTTTTCCTTGGATTCTTTCGGAGTCGTTTCTTTATTTTTTTTTTTTTTTTTGAGAAAAGAAGAATTGAAATTTTTTTGAAGGGGGAAATCTAATGAATTTTATTATAGCAACTGTGACATCAAAGTAACGGACTTGATTAAATCAGGGGAGTACAAAAGCAATACCCAACTACTTACGTATGTATCGGCAATGTAACTTATAATACTCAATTTATGTGGAGACGATACTGAACATAGAAATATTATGTACATATACAGGTGAAAATCTACAAAGGAAGGGGGAAAATATGAAAGCCGGGTACCTTTAATGGTCGGTGCCGAAAAAGGTTAACGAGTTCCTGACCGTAGATAGCACAATTCATAACCACGGCGAAAAGCAACCGTTCATACCGGAAAAAAAAAGATCAAATCACGTAACCATTTCTTATTTTAGATTACGTTTGTACCCCACCCACAAACAGTAGCGTAAAACCCAAGATTATACGGTGTCAATGGTCCATCATGTTCACTCGGGACTTGACCATTGCATTGACCGAGCCTCGCGACGTGGCCGATAATCAGCGGATGAACGATCATAATCAGCGGTGGCGCTAGCGGTTGGCGGCCGAATGTCAAGGAACTCAAAATAGCATTCATAAATAAATTACACAGCGGCAATAATGTGGGGTAATCATTTTGTCAGTGTCAGCGATAATTACATCTCTCTAATACATTGATAAATTACGCTCACTTTAGATAAATTCGTCAGGAGGACTAATGACCACGGAGAAAGAGACCTGTCATTCCGCAGCGATGTGTCTCATCTGACAACTGAATGAGATACGTAATTGGTAAATTGGGAGGGGAGAAGTGATCATTTGATCTGTCACCATGATATAACGTGATGTGTGCTTTGAGCTTTCGTTGAGATTATGTACGCACGTATGCAGCAAAATGATGTGCATGATTGAGAACTTGTGTTAGCATGCGTCTGTTGTGAATGAATCGTGTGCAATGACGTTTAAGCGGGAGATTGTTCACAATTAATTGCCAAAGAGAATTTCCCTCGAAGCCATTGGTTAAAGCAGAATGAGCGTGTGGAGTGATAAAATCGAGTAGAATGGCCAATAAGATGCTGATTCACGCTAATCGCCGCACAGTACGTAGATACGTAACGACGATAAATATAGAAAACATGAATGGAGGGACGGTAATCCTGGTATCGGTAAGCAAATATTTATGTACGCGTTTGACAGGGCGTCAAATGAACAACGAAAAAGGTGGGATCGTCATAACTGGAATGTGTTGCGTTGATGCGAACAAATATAGAATCCTTCCGTTGACAAATTTACGTCGTATATGCGTACACAAATAACAAAACAATTTGTCTCTGTGATGCTTATTGTGAGAATAACGGAATAAACGCATACGCACATACCATTCAAATGTTTTCGCCCACTTCATTACGTAATGGAGGAGAGAGTGGGGATAAGGACATACCGTATGTACGTCTCTTGCGTGCGTGACAATAATGGAGGGACAAGGCAGTAATAATATAGGTAAATAAATCATTGTTTACTGTACGTCTATGACGGATGACACAGAAGGAGCGTTTGTGAGATCATATGTGCAATAAATTGAACAGATTGACAATGACGTATTTGCGAGAAAAAGGTGTTGTTGTTAATCTATCGCGTATGATGCTTTTGGGACATTGTCCATTGAGTTTCAGTTGATACACAAATAGCAAGCGGTTAGTTGGGCACGCACCTACGACATCTTATGTCTTAAACAGTGTAGCCCTTCCGAAAAAGGAAAGGGATGACGCAGTTTCGCAAAAATAAGGTTTTACATTCCAGGTATGTTAATTTTTTACTAAGTACATACAGTATAATGAATAGGTTGACGAATCACTATGAGATACCGAGTAGGAGAAAATTACCGGGTAATTATAATGACCTAATGCATAAGTAATGTGCGGGGACAGGGTTTCTTTTTTGGAAGTAGATGATCTAAATCTTAATGAGTGACAATACACACAGTACATATTTTTTTTTTAACAATAGTTGGGGATTATCTGTCTGATATACCTGATAAATTTTTTGTTCTTACGAATGGATAAACGTTAATCCCTGGAGGTGATGCCCACCTTAGTCTTCCTTCTTATGCACACACGCGCCGTGTTTCCTGGTACGTACGCACATACTTGGATTGATAGCCTGGTATTAGTTAATTGAAGTGCGTAACTACATACGTAATCGAAGGTTCTTATCTTTATGTAATCAAACAAACTACACACCTGCATGCTATCAAACCCCTTTGTACCCGTGTGCCATGGTGCCATCCTCCACTCCATACTTGGTTTGGCGATCCGCGATCCGCACAAAGCGTGTCGTACATACGTTCGTGTGCGCTGGTCCGTTCACGTGATCGGACATCCATGTTATTTATGCCATTCCCCACTCACTACTTTATTGTATAAGAATTTTCCGTGAGAGTTTTGTTTGTAAATAGCACTCGTCAGCAAATGGTAACAAATTACCATAAGCTATTTTTATCTTTACATTTGTTGACCAGAAACACTTGAAACTTTCCGAAAGAAAAAAAAGAGGAAATTATAAAATAATAATTTTTTTAAATAAAATCCCATTTTGATCTAAATAATAAAAATATTTTTTAATTATAGAATTTATTTATTATATTAGGATTATAAAACTTATAACATATAGTATATTAAATAAATATTAAAAAATACAGTATATCAAATAATAGAAGAATCAATTATATATGCATGTTTAATATAAAAATACAAAAATATATACATAATTGTTCTTCATTTATGTTTTCTTATTATAATATAAGTAATATTATTTGAAATTATACAGATATTTTAATTTAATAAATTAAATATTGTTTATTTAATTTTTTTATAAAATTTTTTTAAAAAAATAATTGATTATTATAAAAAAAAATTTATTTATTTAATTTATTTTTTATAATTTATAATTTGTTTTTGTTTGTAATTGAATTTTTTTTAAATACATGTTATAATCTATTTCTTTTAATAATAATATGATAATAATATAATATTTTTATTAGATAAATTATTAATCAACCTGCCTTTTCTATTTAAGAAAAGGTTAATCATGAAATTATTAAGACATTGTAATGATTATTAACAAAGAATAATTCCCCCATCTATACTGATACCCAAAAATATTATGTAAGAAAATTATTCCGGACCTACCATGCATGCGAAATCTGAAACGATAAATAGAAAATTAAATATTTACAATGTCACTGTTAATCGGCTAACCAAGGTAGTTTCGCGATCAGAATTTGATTAGGCACGGAGCGAGGCATGTACGATTTGCCGATAACTTATTTCACTACCCTTATTTATATTTATACTTTTTCTTTTTACACCTTTACACGATAGATCAGTTTAGAACACTAAAGAAGATTTTAAAAAGAACAAATGAAAATACGAAAAACTACGAGAAATGCATATTCTAATCACCTAGTTACATAGCTAAGCAAAGGAGAGTATTGTGAATTTAGTTCATTTTTCATAATTTACTACTTTTTTCACGCCTTCAGGAATTCTTAATATACTTTTCACGTATGATGTAATCGTACGACCTGCTAACTCGTGGCATATGCGTGAAAAGTTTTTTTCGTCACGCATCTTAAGAATTTTAAACGTGATCTACCATATCAGAATAAAAGAACTGACATCCAACTTAAACTTTTCTCACTATAAACCTGTTATCTGACGTCAAAGATCCTGAATCTTCATTCTGAACACTCCCTGCACAAGCAGTTAAATATCTTGAAGGAAACCTTAGAAGATTGCAATTTGAATAAGGCGACTGTAACAAGAAATTTCAACAAGCGTTTGCAGAATATGAAGGAACATGGTACAGCAAAGGAAAAGAAGAATGCAGTACGTCTCGAAGGTCAAGTCAAAGTCAATATATTTTCATGAATTATATAACTGCAGATTAGCTTGTCACATTCAGTAGCCCCCACTTCGTACTTCGTCTCCATTATTCCCATTATTCGTATTCCAATACTACAGCTACCCATGGAACTACGTCTTCGCATGGTTATGGACTACGTCTCCGCTGTTGGCTACCGCTAACCCATGGAACTATGTCTTCGCATGGTTATGGACTACGTCTCCGCCGTAGCCAGCTTGTGACATGCTAATCTGCGACATGCTAATCTGTGACTTGCTAATTTGCAATTTTTGGATAACCTTTATTAAATAAATTTATTTTTAAAAGACTGAATCTAGGAAAATGGGACGAGTCTAAAATTTTTGGTCGAAGTATAACAATTTTACGGAACAAGAAAAGATGAAAGTCAACGGTATATTTTTATCTTACAGATCTGCATTGGTTGTAAGAAGAAATACTAACGAAAATGGTTAGACCGAGTAACTCTTCAAAGCATATTAATGACTTTAAACAACAACTAACTTGTGTCGTGTTCTGTAATTTAGAGGAAATTAGATGAAGATTTGACGCAACAAAGTCTTCCTCTGACTCTACAAACGTACAACAAACATCCACCATTTCTGAACTTGATGTAAGCACTAAAGAGCTCGAGGACAACGAGGAAATTAAATTTGATATAACAAACATTTCGATGGAGTTGAAGCGTGAACCAACGGTTGAAGTATGTTACATGGAAATATTGATTCCTTTATTTCGTGTATTTCACAATTTGCTTGTTTTTTAGTGGGTGGTTGGTTGTATTAATGTAATCGATAGATTTCGGCAGTATCAGAAGGACGTTCTCAAGAAGGCGGAGAGAGAGGGTTTAAAATATGAGAATGTATACAAACTCTTGTAAGTATACTTAAACATGTAGCATTTGACTAGTACAATAATACTAAATATAATTGCATTTAGAGCTTTATCGTCAATCATTGTGCTCTGTTGGGCATGTCCATACCCCATGTTCACGAAACAAGAAATGGAAAGAAATAACCAAAATTAATCCTTATGCTATAAAAGATCCGCTATTCGCACCTAAGATTTAATCTTCTCTTCGTGATACAGCTGGTAAACATTTGAACGGCGGAGATGTCTTCATGGATTGTGGAAAAGGGGAGTTTAATAGAATTGTTGCACTCATGTTTAACAAACCTGTAAGTTTATTCGTTCTTATGTCTTTTATCATCCATTAATTTGTGACTTACACAATTTCTTTTAACCATCAGATATTATGATATTCCAGAGGTTGCACCATCGAAGTTATCCGAGGAAGAACACAGTGACATGTTTATTTATCCAATTACTCGTTCGTTTCATGGATCTGAAAAGAATATACACTTAGATTAAATCGTGCCAACGCAGGCTCGAAGACAAGACCAGACCTTTCTTGTACAGTGGATAATATACCAATCTTAAATTCAGAGTTTAAGCCGGTGGGTTGTTACATAATAATTTTTTTTTATAATTATTCAGTACTTAATTGGTCCACCATTGGCTTGTAATACAAGTCAATTCGCCGCGGCATAAAGTTAACAACTTTATTAAAAATTGAAGAATCAATTTTTTTTCCACTTTTTCATGAGCATAGTCTTGAGTTCGATTATGTTTCTTGGAAAGTTTTCACACCTTAAACATTATCTTTTAATACTTAACATATTATCAATAGAATTTAAGTCTGGAGAATTAGTTGATCAATTAAGAATTTTAATTTTTTTCTTTTTAAACTATTCTTAAACAATTTTTGCTATATGAATGGACACATCTTCAATATTGGCAAAATAGTATTTCATTGGTAATTATCATTTTTTTTATTTACCATTAATTTTTTGATAATTTTCTTTGAAAAAGGCTAACACTTTCTCTTCTATATGCAATTATGCCATAAACTAAAAATATAAGGATTTTAAGAATCATTATTGCATTGAAATAGAATTTCTAATTAAATGTCAAACAAGTTTAAAAATCTTGCTTGTTTTCTGGTTGTATAAGGAAATATTTGTAGTAATTTTTTTATAACTTTGTTTTTATGCATTTTTCTTTTAAAAACTATCAAAATTATTTTTACAATAATTTTTAACATTACAAATTTATTTTTAAAGTTATATTTAAGTAAAGTTATTGGATTTTTTCTTGTTTTAATCAAGTTTTTTCTTTTACTTTTCTATTGATATACAATATTGTATTATCTCAAATTTATGAAATTTTTCTTAAAATAAAAAAATAACATTAGATTTATTTTTTCAAATGATTAATACAAACCTAATAATCAATTAAAATTCAACAATACAATTTTATAATTATATACATATATAATTGGATTTGATTTTGAACATGATAAAATTAATAGAATTTCACTATGTAACAATTTAATTAATAGTTTATTTCAAAATTTAATCATATTTAATTTGCTTTATATTTAGCTTACTTATAAATTTTTAACAAAAAATATTTTATTTTAAAGAAGTTTTATACATAACAAAAATTTAAATGATCTATAATTCTATTGTTATATAATAATTCCATCATATATATATTTATAAAAATTTTTTTTTTATGTTAAGGTGAGACACTTCTCATGATCTTTATTGATAGAATAAATATGTAATGTTACATGATCAATATTAAG